GTGAGCGATTTATACCGGATCTGGACTTTTTCGCACGCAAACGATTAAGTTTTTTAGTGGGTAAAATATCCACTGTTGTACCAAATTCTGCACGTTTTTACTCACTTTATTTTTTCCGATAAAGAAATTTTTGACACCGGGTAAAACTTTACTTCCACTTCTGCACTAAATTTTTGGGATGCTTTTGCACGGGTTAAATTTTACGACTTGGGTTTTTTCACACGTCTTAAAACGACCTGCCTTCCGCTACTGTGAGTGAAGCCCTCACTGCGAGGAGAGCCGAGGACGTCCTGCGTCTAACGAAGAGTATACATGTCGCAATTTAACAAGTCTCAACGTATAACCTCATTCGGAATGAGGAATGAGTCATTCCTTGTAGTAGACTACAAGGAATGACACCCTACACTTGTAGACTAAGTCTACTAGTGTAGACTCCTAAATTATGTCGTAATTATTACAGACCGTTGTGCGCTCCAGCGCAGTGTACGGAGACTCATGAACCATTATACGGTTTCCCGGTGTTTGTACTTGACTGTATTACTCTGTTATTACTGTTATTGTATTGTGCACCGTGACACCGGTGGCGTCACGTATTTCTGCATCCGTGCTGAGGCCTTACTCGGGCACTTGCCCAGTGCTCTTAAAGGTTAGACTGAGGACAGGAGTGAGCTAAGCTTCTCATTCTTACTGGCCTAGGACTTAGGCTACAGCTTAAGTTAATACACTGTGTTGAGGTTTACTAGCCGCTAGTGGTTATACTTCGTACGTTAAGTAACGTAGTCAAAGCTATGGTTTCGGAAATCATCAATAGATTAGGCATTATGTTCACTAGTAAGTGTGGTTTTGATACATAGCGGCAAGAGTTCTGATAAGGGTACAGAGTCTGCACTGCAGACATAGCTAGTTGGGTCACCCAACTTGGGTGATCAATGAACGCTTATCATCGTCGTCCGATATCAAGGAATTATCTGTGGTATATTCAATTGACAACTACACTCTTAGAACTCTCATAAAAAACTTTAAACTCAGGTATTGAATTTCCCTTCAGGTGAGAATAACATGCTAGCTGGCGCGGGAAAGATTTCCGGAAACCTGCTATTTTCTTTCCTAGTAATGCATGCAACCGAATGGTATCTCATACTAGCTTCATCGAACACGGAAAGATGAAACCACTGGCGGTTTGAAAAACCAGAGTTGAGTCTAGCGATAACAAAAACTCCGCATAAATTGCTCCCGTAACCCGAATTATTAAGTACACATTTCGAACCATACAGCTGGCGTAGGGCTTGTCCAAAAAACCCGAAGACATGACCGACATATTCATACTGTCCATGAAATACACCTGACCATCCACAACGGCAGATGCGGCATAGTGCCCACATGTCGGATCCAGAACGGGTTGGAGATAGAGCTCACGGCTTTCAGGATGCTATCAATGACCCGCGAGAAGCCGAAGTGAGTTGTTCCCACCAATACGCCTCGAGCAGCTGTAACCCCACCCTGCCGACAGAGCATAGCCATCCACATATCCACGATGTCATCAGGAATAGTACTTCCTTGAGTCAGGACCTCTGCTCAGTTTTCGACCTGACGGAGAGCTATTCGATCAAGTATTTGCTATTTTTGTTCTAAGGCGAGCGCTATTTCATTTGGTTCAGAAGTGGTTTGAGAGTGGTACAAGCTCAATCAACTGGGTCAAATTTTCCACAAAAGGAACGATTTTAGCACAGAAGTGGTTCGCGGAGCGAAGCGCTTCCCGAAGGGAAGTTTTTAAAATAGGGGCGAGCGCTACTTGATTTGGTACAAAAGTGGATTAGTACAAAAGTGGCGTAATCGGCGAGAAATGATGTATCCAACGGAGCGGTGATGATTGTCATCATTATCATTTACATCCTCTAGCTAACTCATCAGAGTATAATGTGCATCGATGCAAGTCTCTCTAAACCATAATCGTAGGCGTTGGACTTTAGACCCACACACGAACCGTTTGACAGAATAATGCTTGTTTTCGCGAACTTGTAGAGAAACTGATTCTAATGTCCATCTCGGTTACGCTGATGTGAAGATCCTCCATAGGAAACTCAAGCAATACGCAACACTGAGGAGAAATTCAATTACTAAACAATACGGTTTATAACAACAGAGCACATCAACCAAGATGGTTAACATTCACATTCGCCGGACGCCGTTCGCTGTTTATGTACTCTTTAATGTTGGGTATTCGACTGAAGTATTCGTGGAATTCAACCCTGAAAGGAAAGGATCTCGATCAATGGAGTTTCACAACCCGTTTTACGTAAAGTGGCGTAAAACTCGGTGAAAAACTCGATATTCGCAGTGGTATTGAAATATATTTTTCACTAGTCTTTTCCATATCACTAGAGTGAAACTCCAATGAAACAAACAGTGGGAAAAATGCAAATGGTCAACTACATGTGTTGGTGACAAGAAAAAAATTTTGGGAAAATTCTTGTCGAATTCGTATATAGTGAGGAAGCTCCTGAGCTGAGCTGAATATATATTTTCACACTCGAAATACCACAACAATTTCCACGACTAACGAAGTTCAACAACACTTACAGTTGTGGAAACCACTTCTCGAAATTTCGAGATTGATTAACAGCCTTCCGCAGATGAAGATCAAGAACATCATAAAGCTGTACATGTCCAATGTTGAGAGAGCTCTTATAATCAGCGAAGTTTCGTAGGAATAACTGGTAGATGAAAAACATATGAGCACCTGAGTAAAAATGGACACAACTATTCTGCACGCATGCACATCCGTCTCGTCACCTTTGTTATCGCCGCATCTACTGCTTGGGTCAATGTGCTTCTTTTCATAAACCGCAACGGCCTCCGATGAGAACTGCCCAATGTACGCGAGATTATAATATCTACAAAGATACGCCCTGCGCACAGCGAAGAAACTGCCGAGTTCTCACTCCAGCCTTATCGATTCGAGACCACTGAGCATCTCGTCTATCGCAGCGAGCTCAGCTGGAGTTCCGCAATACATAGCGTTCAACCGACCAAGATACCTACAAGTGGGAAAATACGCACATGGGCATGAAAATTCCCGCAATCTAGTATAGTTAGTGAAAAAGCGAACACTATCCCTACCTCAGGATAGCATCCATCTGAGCAATAGTTCGCCCCCGATGAACAAGCAGTGGCACTTGACCGAAGGGCGCATCAGCAAAACCAGCATGGCTCTTCATATCACTGTAGTTTACGTCAACCTAATAATGATGCGAATTCTATCCTTGACACAGAAAGTGCTTCGTACAGTACGTGTGAATTTGATCGATGCAAATGTGTGTTATTTTGTAGGACAAATTATAGTGAACAAGTTGTCGCTATCATCACAGTCCCAAACGGGTGCTTTCATCACAACATATGTTCATAGCCATTGTATATGCGATATAGTTTAATCTCGGAAAAAATAACACACATTTGCATATCAAATTGACACGCACTGTAATCCAACCACGACCACTACTTCATCATAGTCGCTCAAGTGAATTCCCATAAAAAGCCCACCTCTGTGTAGTTGAGACCATTGAGCTCTAGCATAAGGCGAACCGGTTCTCCTCGTCCCCTCATCGGGAAGTATTTCAACGAATATTCAACAGGTGTGTTGTCATCCGTCATTAACTGTCGCAATCTACCCAAAAAATTAACAAAAAATTTCCATATTGTCACCAAATCAGATGCACATTTTCTGCTGTTTTATAAATCCAACTATCACCTTTCTGTCAGTCGGCATACCAAAAACTCCACAACTCATAACACAACACGACGTCCCTCGAAACCAATTCTTCTCAACAAATCCGGAAAACCCAAGTTTCATCTTCTCCTCCGCAACGCAGCACGAATATTTTCCGGAAAACGTTATTTATCGTAATAGCCAAGAAATAAGAGGGTAAAACCAACACCGAAATAGCTAACGTTAGTAACATACAAAGTTGCTTCAACAGAGTATCTTTGCTACTACCTCCACCACCTCCACCTTCAGCGCACAGCGAAGATTTTCATTGCTACTATCATACACATACAAACCAAACCTATTCTCGCTATTAAATCGAGCGACATCTATACAGTTCACTACTCCGTGCAGCTACGACTTGAAATCGCATAAGATCAACACCATGCGAAATTATACTTTTCCACATTTTCCCTTTTTCTTCGCCTCAAAATTTCTTCTTTTCCCGTCCCGAAGCCGACCACACAAAATTGCCACTTTTATATATTTCCACCGCTTTCCTTTTTCCGTTTTTCCTCCTCTCCAAATCTTCTTCACAAACCCACACCGAAAACCAATCCACAGTAGAGCTACCCGGAAGTGGCGGCACCCCAGCACCACACGCCTAATGAGAAAATAATTTTTGCGTTGAGGAAATGCAAGATTGCAAGATTACTACTTTTTTCTCTCTCCCCCTTATCGACGGTGACGAGAAGCACATTTGGAACATAGCATGGAAAAGACCCGTATAGAGATACCCAATCCCATATGCCAATCTATACAGCGGTACAGCGAAAAACAACAACGACCTGATGCGTAAAAAGCGCTCGCCCAGATGATCGATATACACTTTCCAATACCTTTTCCAGTGTCTTTTGATCTCCGGTCTCCTCCGGAGCGCCAAACAAACCTCGCTTATAGACAATGGGTTGAGGACGACATAATATATCTACCGTAAAAAAATTTCCGGAAAATTTTCATTTTTTCCGACCGTAAAAAATTGAAAATCTCACTGCCAAAAGAAACTTAGTTTACACGAAAGAATTTCCGCCTTTGAAATTTCGAATGACACCATTATTACCAGAAACAATATAGGTATGTCGATTGGTGCACGTAGAAACAGCGTTCCAAGATAAAAGGGTCTGAAAAAAATACACAAAAATCAGAAAAAAACCAAAAAAAATCATCAACCTACCGAGCAACAACGAAAAAGGCAGGAATAAGATGGTACAAAGCGATGCTGAACTTGGCAATCCATCTGAAAAAAATTCCGAAAAGAGTGGTATGCACGCATACACAAAAGATACTCTATATTACTCACCTCGGTGCAGTAGCCACAAAAGGGTTGAAGAACTCCAACGCCAATGTACAGAGCAATCGCCAATCTTTACAGTGCGCACCAAATTGATCATGATTAGTGACCCGAACCTAATCCGACATACCATACAAAGGCGAGGAAAATATATTTTCCACTCCCAAATTTTTTCTCATAAATTTTCACAAAATTTTCCCTTAAGACCTGTGGTGCTGCAGTACTCGAAGCCGCGCCTTTTAATCTCATCTGTGTTATGAACATCCTCTGAGTCAGCTCACCGCCGGACGCACACGTCTGAAAAAAATGCAAAAAATTTTAAATCCATAACTTAGCGAAAATATTTTCACTCTTTTTTCCAACAGAAAATCATAAAAAAAATTTCCGAAAATTTTTCCCACTTTTCCTTACCGCATCAGTTCCATTTAACCTTTCCAGCGTCTCCAAAAGCGCCTTCCTTTCCCACATGCACACCGATTTCGAGGGGACCACTACAGCGCTCCGACCAAATTTCTGTTGAGTCATCGTTACACTGAATAAAATACGAAATCGATCGCGTGATCGATTTGGTACATACTCTTTACATAGCATCAGCCTTAAGGAAATAATCATCAACCCAGACGGACTGACCCTGTCCCTGGACAGTCGGCCGAACCGTTGAAGGAAACCACAAGACTTTGCTACCGCTCTTCGCAAGTGCCTGATGGGAAAAACAAAAAATTTTCCACAAATTTTTCCGGAAAAAATTCTCCACATTCAATCGTCCTAAAAAACCTATATCAGATATCTTGCAATCTTGCACATCCTTGAATTTCCTCAACGGTCTCACCTTAGTATCGATCTCCATTGACATAGGCAATAGCAAGTCGTCAACCCCATCCACTTCATCGATCACCATGGCGTAGCGAAATCTACCAAAGGTATCTCCATCGTTTACCACTAACTGTCAACTCACGAGTGAATCTTCGAACTCCCCGAAGATACGCAGTGCCGTCGCACTTGGGAGGGGATCCAGAATTTGTTCGCCCAGTGAATGGCAATCGCCTTATCGTCCTCAGGCAAGTACGCATAGTTAATCTCGGGAGACACTGTGTCCTACCATCAAAAGCTCGTCGTTAGATAATCGATCACGTGATCGATTTACTACCTGGAGCATCTTCCAACAGTCATCGGCCGGGACCAACCCCGGACCATGATCAACCACGAAAACTCGTGAGAACCCCGCTACATTGCTAGGGAAAAGATTAACACACCTGCCAACATTGCGCACTGCCAAGATTCCACCAAAGATACCACTTCAACGCACCGCAAAGATTCTCAAAGATACCACTTCAACGCACTGCCAAGATTCCACCAAACATACCACTTCAACGCACCGCGAATATTCCACCAAAGATACCACTTTAACGCACTGTGAAGATTCTCAAAGATACCACTTCAACGCACTGCGAAGAGTCCACCAAACATACCACTTCAACGCACTGCGAAGATTTTAAAAGATACCACTTCAACGCACTGCGAAAATTCCCCCTCCCCCCCTCACCTGCGAACAAGCTTAGCGATTCGTTTCCTCTTGGTGAAATCAGCACAACTGCCGCTTCTTATGACGATTATTACACACACTTCAGGATCCACGACCGAACCCTGGGTCGGTACTAAAACAAACAATAAACATCTTGCAATCTTACCTAATCTTGCATTTCCTCAACGCTATACATTTCCTACCATCTTCAATCGGACTGAACTCATGAGCTCGTCGGGCCCCTTCACCCGAGGACATCCGCTCTGGCTTACTGTCCACAACCACCGACGGCCACCTAAAGGAGTCGACGAGGCGTGTAAATTCTCTGGTAGGAACATTCACATGCTCAACTACATGTGTTAGTGACAATGAATGAAAATTCTAGGAAAATTTTGGGAATTCTTGTCGCTTTTGGTACACTTCTACGGTACATACTTCATACAATAAGACGGAAATACAGAGAATTACTCAATAGCGATCATCCGCGAAATCAACAGAAAAAGACCAAATTTTCGCTGAATTTTCAGAAACTTTTATTCCGCCGAATCGGTCCACACAATGAAATTATGCAGATCTTAGTGCAAGAGACTTCCAAACAAGTCGATAGGATTCGAACCCACGACCTCCGGATGTACAAACATACCCCCTTACCATTTCGCCATAATTGCCGACGGAATCCCCATCAATATCAACACCCCCACATCAGTAAGAACAAGTAAGTCCGTAAAAACCCACGGGGATGACCCCACTTGGTGGATACCTCGTACAGCGTCCAGTATACCTGAAAATCTTGCAATCTTGCGCTTCCTTACATTTCCTCAACTCACTCCACCACGAGTACTCAAACAGCTGCCGCGGTGAAACCACGAAAACGAAAAGACATGCCAAAATCTGGACCACCAGGAAACTGACAAAAACACCAATAATGACCGCGCGCCACGAAATAAAATCTTCACTGTGCGCTCAGAAGATACTCCCATCCCACTTACAAGATAGCGCGCAATATCGTCTTGAGAAGTCCCCTGACCAACGCGATTCGACGCCTTTTCTCTAACCCAACCTGCCAAAACAGAAATGAAAATTCCCCAAAAAATCCCCAAAAAATCCCCAAAAAATCCAAAAAAATCCAAAAAATCCAAAAAATTCCAAAAAATCCAAAAAATTCCAAAAAATCCAAAAAATTCCAAAAATCCAAAAAATTCCAAAAATTTCCGAAAATTTACGGAAATTTACAGAAAAAAACTATTTTCAACAACTCACTCGCATGTTTTTCACTTGTACATCCCATCCACCAACACGATCTCGACAAAGTGGATTCATCGCACCTAAAAGATACTCCTTCGCAGCGCACTGCCAAGATTTTACCTGTCCCATATCGCGACGTACTATGCGCTCGTGCGAACATAGCTGTTGGACTAGGGTCGTGGCTCAAGATACTCCTACGATTCAGAAAAGGAGTGGTATGAAATCCCCCTGCACGCATGCACATCTCACCCGTGCTCGAAATGCCTATGTACATTCGACTTCAATCCTGACGGCGAATCTTGGTCCGCCGAAAACCCCCGAGCCCCCGGAGACATACTCCCATCCTATACAGAAACATCACTAAAATTTTCCCGCGCGCCACGAAATTCCCACTTTTCTTTCCCTCCTCTCCTCATCACTTTCCATATGTCGTTGTGATTCAACCATATACCTAAACTCGAGTAAATCTTGCAATCTTGCTCTTCCTTACAATTACCTAACGCCCTCTGCTTCCCATCGTCCTTCCACCCTTCTCCTCATTTCCCGTCTCACGTCGTGCATATGGCAAGCCATCACGGAATCATCAACAGCTTTTTTGCGCGCCTCTTGAATTTCGCGCCACTGAAGAAGAAAAAAATCTTCCGCGTGCGTAAAGATATTTCTGGTAAGCCCACCCAGAGATAGCTCTCGCGTGCAGTAACGAGAATGATCATAAAGAGACCAGCAATTATGAATCCTTGAATTACAACTATGTGACCAGGAGAAACCTGAGACAAAAAATGCGGAAAAAAATCGACAAAATCGGAAAAATCGGAAAAAATCGGGAAAAAATCTAAATAAAATCGGAAAAATCGGAAAAATCGGGAAAAAAATCTGAAAAAATCTGAAAAAAGCGCAAGAAAAATCGGGAAAAATCGTCAAATTTTGTGTCAGAAAATCTCCGATACGGAAAACACTCCTAGAAAAACAAAGTCCCCACTATTATCTCAATTTTTTTGTTAACGACTCTGTTGTAAAATAATTTTCCAACGAAGAAAATTTTCGCGAAAATTACCACCTAGCAAAACTACTTTTTCGATCAGAAAAGCTTCGCTCCGCTCAAACTACTACATTTCCATCTGCTGAACAAATCGGCTCCAAACCAACAACGGCATTATCAACTGAGATATGATGCGTATCGTCCATCGTCAGCCGAATCGGCGACAAACTACCAATATACGGGGGAAATCTGACACACAAAAAAATATTTCGCGCGCCACAAAATTATTTCCTATTACTTTAGGTCTGTCCAAGAAACCGGAGAGGGAGGATCAGAAATCGCAATATCAGAGCCGACAACATGCGAGCAGGGAATGCTGGAAATACACGTCCAACAATGGGCGTCGGCGCACTCCCCGGAAAATTCGTTTGTGGCGTAAAAACCTGAAAAAAAATATCGACTTCACGTGCCACGAAATTATTACTCACCACACTGAGCTCCCGTTTGTAGACTATAATCTGTAATTTGCTGCATTTCAGTTTGACCAACATCGCGAGTCGGGTCGAATTGAAACCAAAGTCGACACTTGCTGCCCTCAAGCGTCTCGTGGGTACCCGTCACGTCCCATGCTGCAAAAACCTGGTGGACAAAATTTTCCGTTTTTCCATAATTTTCCGTGAAAATATGTGATTTTTGGGAAAAATGTAGATTATTTTTCCGGAAAAAATATGTACTCGGAAAAGTTTTCGGCTTCAATAAAGGAATATATTTCTCGAAAAATACAGAAATTTTCCAGAAAATTTACGGAAAAAAATCGGAAATTTTTTCCTTTTTTTTCGAATGAAATCCTACCTTCGAATAACCCGGTACGTCATCGTAGATGTGGGCAGGTCTGATACACGTCAATTCGCCAAACCATTGAGTTGATCGAGTGAAGATCGTCGCGCTCACGATAATAGATACGGCCTGGCACACAATCCAACCTATTCTGTATCTTGCCAACTCAACCTCAAGATACCACTTACAATCCATATCAACGTGAATAATATCCGACAGCAGTACCCGGAAGGATTTACCCACTTTTTCGGTAGTGTACTGCGGAAATATCTGATGATAAGCGAAGCTCCACCCGACCCCATTTCACGCCCAACGATTTTACCCGGGTAAAAACGTTACACTCACCTCCTCTCATGATCCATCATTTCCTCTCTAGGAGACACACCCAACTTCGGCGTCCCCACCCGCGTCATCGCTGCCGAAACCATCAACTCGTCCGTGTCAAGAAGGGCATCTTTATCCGACGCTAAATCTACCGGACTCACACCACCGGCTAACAACATGGTTATGTAAAAAGCGCACGCCCGACTAATCGATTTTCATACTTACCTTCAGATCCGAAGGAATCCGCACGGGGACGGAATTTAGGAGAAGATCGTCGCACTCGAGCTAAAACGGGGTAAAAAATTCCGGAAAACTCAACCGGGATAATTTCCCCAGAATCCACCAACGATTGACATAACTCCTCCCTACTTGGTCGTTCTTCCTCTATTTCAAATTCCATCGGCGGTGATGATGCGTATGCTACTTCCTGAATCGCATCCTGGGGCTCAACTGGTGGAGGAGTGACGACCTTTCGAGGAGACGGAGCTCTCCTGAGGAAATGCGCGTGGAATCATCATGAAAAAAAACCGGAAAAACACCGAAAATTCGGGAAAATTTTCCGTTTTTTTCGCTCACCGTGGGCTTTCTGTCGCCAGTTTAGGTGTGCCAGGATGAAGCGGTGGTCGACGAGGTCCATGTAATGGTTGATCTCGGGGACCTAAAGTGAATCTTACTCGCTTGAACCTAAGATACCATCCCCTACTCCTTTGTGTGAGAACACGCCCTCTAGACTGGTTACCGCTTGAAGACGTTTCCCGACGTTGCGCTGGCGGCATGGAAAACAGGGAAACACTAGAATGGTCAAAAACGGCCTCGAAAAATATCTTTCTATATACAGTGCGTGTCAATTTGATATACAAATGTGTGTAATTTTCCGACATTAATCTGAAACTATATCGCATACACAATGTAACAATGGCTATGAACTGAAAATTGTCGTAGAATGTTTTTTTCACGACTACTGCATATCACCGCGAATATCGCGTTTTACGCCACTTCACGTAAAACTGGTTGTGAAACTCCATCAAAATACTCTCATCGCCACTCTCCGTCGAAATTGTTACCAAGCGTAAAATGCTCCTGCCAGGAATCGAACCCGCGACCCTCAAAAACAATACAGACTCAACTTTATCATCTCCGGTGATTCCAACAAAATATGCACATGTTTTGGAAGGAAAAATAAAAATTCTGAGAAAATTTGCGGAAAATTCTGATTGGTTTCTTTGCACTTCTACTCGAATTTATATGTCAACTTGTACGATTAGTAAACCAGAAAAAAAGCGAACATATATTTCACACCGCGTAGTAATATCAAAAGATATGCGCACAG